ACTTACTTATCTATATTACTTACTTATTAATATATTAATATATATTATAAAGTAAATAGTATTTTTTTAAGTATTTTAGTTTTTTCTATTTTTTAATAGTAAAAGTACTAGATAAGCTATATAGCTTAACTAAGGTAATTAAATAATAATAATATAATGTAATATAAACTGTAAATTTAAGTGCTTTAGTGCGAAAGAGGAACTTTATAAAAAGTGGTCCTAATGGTGTACTGTAAGGTTGGTGGCCCGCTCGACCTAAAAAAAAAGCCCTGATCGAGCATGAGAAAGCTTCACTTGGCTAGTAAACGTCTACATGAGACTTTTCGAATTATATTACGTCACATGAAGACCGGCGCCTTGTCCTTCAGTTTGAAATCGCCGGAAAAATATGGATTCGGCGGTTTCGTCCATAGCGACACCTCCTGCCGCTGCCCGGGCGCACAGATCCCAGGCTCTGGACGACTTGATCATGGGTGTAAGTATTCTAGTGTTTGCGCATTGTCACTGCTTGACAACTAAACTGTAATGACGAAAAAGAAACATGACTGATTTTTCAACTGGCCAGACCAACAGTAGCAGCATTGTCTCCAAGCGCAGCGTTGAAAGGCTCTACTACCCTGACGAACCTCACTATTTTCGCTACTTTGTGAAGAAGTTTCAGCGACGAGCGCCGCTGATTAACCGGGGGTACTGGTTGAGACTTAAAGCAATTGATACTATTGTCAAACAATTTCTTTTACGCTGTGATGGGCAAAAAGTAGTCATCAATCTTGGATGTGGAAGGTGAGCAAACGTGCTCTGCCGCTGTTTTGCTAATACTAATATGACGAACAGCGATGTTTTGCCATGGCAAAGCAATGTCCGATATGGAGGCAAATGTAGCGATGCATTGTTTATTGACATTGACTACGCAGACCTCATGCACAGGAAGAGAGCTGTGGTCCTGGAGACTCCTCAGCTGAAAGAGCTCCTCGGGTCTTCTTTTGAAGTTTCCAAATCTGACAAAGATATTTTGCTGCTGAAGAGTGAAAGATACTGTCAGATCGGATGCGACCTTCGTGATTTGCAAGCACTCCGCCATGTGCTAGAGACTCTGGCCGATTTGTCGCAATGCCCTGTTCTCTTCGTTGCCGAGGTCTCCATTACTTATATGGATACAGAATCTGCAGATAGATTACTCGAATGGGCTAGTTCTGTTGGGAAGGCCGAGTTCTGCCTTCTGGAGCAAATTATGCCCTATGGTCGTGGCCATCCGTTCGCTCAGACAATGCTCCTGCATTTTGACAAGCTCAAGACGCCACCTCGGTCTGTCAGGTGTTATCCGACCATCAACGACCAGTCTCAGAGGTTCAAGAGCCGTGGATGGCCAAGTGTACGGGTATGGGATTTGTGGGATGCCTGGTCCTGCGGCGAGTTTGTGAATGTCCAAGAGCGGGTCGCTCTCGACGACATTGAGCCATTCGATGAGTGGGAAGAGTTTATGCTCTTTGCACGCCACTACTTTGTTCTTCACGCATCAGCAATTGGGGAAGAAGACGTAACGAAGGGAAAGACGGGGATCCAACTTGTCCTTCAACCAACAATCCAACCCTATAAAGTGCAACCTTGCCACGAACTCAGTATGCAGTTTACTACGTTGACTGGCAGCATCAAGCGCCGATTTGGGGCGTTGGCGACACTTCGGGATGTAGAGGGGCGGAACTTTGTATTGAACATGATGGGACTCGGCTCTAATACCCGCGAGGATAGGTATGATATCTATTCTCTCGATGGAGGAGCCGCATTTTCTCCAGCACTGCCTTTGACAGGTCCATCGCCGCGCATGTGCTTCACTGTTACAGACTTGGGATCCTATGGCATATTGCTTGCCGGAGGCCGTGGTTCTCCAGCAAGCGCATTGTCTGATTGCTGGCTCCTCAGAAACGATCATGGCCAGAGCTGGCAGTCGACGTGGAGGCTACCGCTTCCCCTTTATCGCCATTCTGCGTTACGACTAGCTGGAACATCACTGGTTCTTGTAGCTGGAGGTAAAATAAGTCCCTCGCGAATCTCCGAGTATTTTTTCGTGTTGAATCCCGAAAAAGGCTGGCTCCAGTGCAGAATTGCTGGGGACATACCAAAGCCTTCCTTTGGCTCCATTCTGTGCAACAGTCCGGTGGGCTCTTCGGATGGAAAGCCTACAGGACTTCTTTGCGGCGGAATCGAAACATCTGGCCTACTCGCCCAGAAGAAATACCAATGGACACTGGACATCGCTTCTGAGCACGTAAGTACATTTCTCACCTTCTATCCGAACCAGCTCAGCTGACCAGTGGTAAGCCCACCATCACATTTGCGATAATGAGCCAAAACTTTACCCCGGAACTGTCGATATTCGGAGCAAGCTGTGTCGAAATCCAAGGAAATACACTTATCTGCGGAGGCATAGGTGCAGACCAGGCCATCAATGGGCAAGCAATGTATTGCCTGACCTCATCAGAATCCAAGGTCGACCTCACTAGAATCACGCAGCGCCCAGACGATGCAGCTACCAAACCATTCATGATTGGCACTTCGGTATTGTATACTGATGATCATATTGTTATTGCCGGAGGTGGTGCGACCTGTTTTTCCATGGGTACATTCTGGGAGACGAATGTCTACCAAGCCCAAGTGCCCACGATCCTTAACAGTGGTCGTGTGGTCGCAGATAGAAGATTGATGTCTACCGAGATCAGATTGATGTCTTCGCAACGTGTCACAAGCAGCACTTCTGCCCACAGAGGCGGTAGTGAACTAGGCAGACCTGATGCAAAAGCTAGAATAACAACGATCGCACGCGTTAGCTTGAGCTCGGAAACCGATTTTGAAGATATCATCCTGCGCGGCCAGCCGGTGGTAATTGAGAATCTTCAACTGGGCGACTGTCTCAAGAGATGGACCGTTGAATATATGACAAAAAGAGTGGGAAGCGGCAAGAAGGTGAGTAATTCTCGCAGTTCTGCCGCGGTCGTTTGCCCCTGACCCTTGAACTAGGTGGTTGTACATGAATGCCAGCCGCATGATTGCACAATGAATTTTACCACGAAGAATTTTCGCTACGTCACTGAAGACTTTGGCACTATTTTGGCTAGAGCCAGCAATGGCGAGCGTTTGTACTTGCGCTCACTGTCAAACGAGAAGCCAGCCGAGCAGCCAGCCAAGCTGGAAGACGATTTCCCTGACCTGGCCGCAGATTTCGTTCTGCCAAGACAACTTGATTATGTCAAGAAAAAGCTTTTCAGTTCCGTGTTGCGAGTGTCTGGCAAAATCAACATGTGGCTTCACTATGATGTAAGTCAAAAGCTGCCACTCATATAAGCCTTGTCTCTAATTTCGGAATAGGTTATGGCGAATGTGTACGCGCAGATCATTGGAACAAAAAGAATGATGCTTTTCCCACCGAGCGATATACCTCATCTAGCATTTGCGCCTGGTGCGTCTAGCTCCAGCGTCGATGTGTTTACATTGCTCGAAACGCCCAAGCTAGCTCATACACGTCCTCATGAAGCCATCGTTGGCCCTGGAGACGTGCTATTTCTGCCACCCCTGTGGCTGCATACCGCAACACCCTCAACAGACATGAGCGTTGCGGTAAATGTATTTTTTCGCGATCTTGACGGCGGGTACGCCACCGGACGCGATGTGTACGGCAACAGAGATCTGGCCGCCTATGAAAAGGGCAGACATGAGGTGGCCAAAATTGCAAAGGAATTTCATGAGCTACCAGAAGAGATTCGCAAGTTTTATCTCGCAAGGTTGGCGGATGAATTATTGCAAGCAGGGGAAGGCAATAATTGATCAATAGGAGTGTATAGCTGCCGCTCAACATGTAGGCCAGCATGAACAGTCTTGTCGATTTACACAAAATCAGAAGATACAAATGATACTCTGCTGACCAGAAGATAGCTGTGATTCCTTCTGTTCCCTTTTGCCAAGCAACACCCACGGTGAATGTGTACTGAGAAAATGGAGCTGCGGCCGGCTGGCTGCCAACCCATTTACCAGCCACCAGTCCAAGTGCAGCGCTTGCACTGAGCTAACTAGCGTCAGGCCATCATTCCTAGTTCCTAGCGGGGTCGTATACCTTTTAGACACTATATTGTCACCTTTTCATCATCAACTCATCTTGCTCGCGCTAGAAGAACTACTGTCGAGATTGTCGTCAATAAGAGATAGCGGGTCTCTCTTCTCGTGAATCTGTGAGCCCATCTGGCGATCTGACACCAGCCTACATTTCGTGGGAACACGTCTCTCGAGATCGCAGCGCGGCAGAGGAACAGGCTGCTCGCGACAAGGAGCTTCCGAACGGGAAAACCATCACCAGCTGCGCGCTGATCTGCCTTGATCAATTCATTTACGAAGAACGCAGTCTCCTGCACACGGCCGCCGACATGCCTGCTACTGGACGTTTGCTCCGTCGCATGCTGCTCCCCGGAGCTGCCGTGACGACGGGAGGTGTCTTGGTCTACAGCTATCGCCCACGAAATATTCCTGGCCATGCATCTGCCGCAGTACCACCACCAACGTATGCCCTCGATGGCTCCTTCACGATGCCGCGCTTCCCGCACGTCAAGTCCCGCCAGGAGCAGCTCGACGCTCTACGCCTGAGCGGAAGCGACTCTACCGATGACGAATATGACATGCTCGTGATTGGTGGCGGCGCTACCGGTGCTGGTGTTGCTCTTGATGCTACGACTCGTGGACTCCGAGTTGCTGTCGTGGAACGTGATGACTTTAGTAGTGGAACTAGTAGTAAAAGCACAAAACTGGTTCACGGTGGTGTTCGGTACCTTGAAAAGGCTGTCTGGAACCTAGACTACAACCAGTACAAGCTGGTTCGCGAGGCTCTCACGGAGCGCAAGTATTTTTTGCAGACTGCGCCTCACCTTTCCATGTGGCTGCCGATAATGTTGCCTCTGGACAAATGGTGGAAGGCACCTTACTACTGGGCCGGAACCAAGTTCTACGATGTTCTTGCCGGAAGCGAAGGCATCGAAAGCTCCTATTTTCTTACCCGCAGTAAGGCTCTCGAGGCCTTCCCGATGCTCAAGCAGACGGACCTGGTCGGCGCTTTGGTCTACTACGACGGTGCCCACAACGACTCCCGTATGAACGTCTCCATCGCCATGACAGCGGCTCTCTATGGCGCGACCGTTGCGAATCACACCGAAGTCACCGGCCTTCTTAAGGATGATAATGGCCATCTCTGCGGCGCTAAAATCCGTGACAATATTGCCGTTCGCAACGGTAAGCCTATCGAGGACTTTATCGTGCGCGCAAAATGTGTCGTCAACTGCACAGGTCCCTTTACAGATGCCATTCGTAAGATGGATGACGAAAGTTGTAAGGAAATAGTTGCACCGTCCTCGGGTGTCCATGTTATATTGCCAGGCTACTACAGTCCGGGCGAAATGGGTCTGTTGGATCCGTCAACCTCTGACGGCCGTGTGATTTTCTTTCTGCCCTGGCAGGGAAACACCATTGCAGGCACCACAGATTCACCTTGTGCAATCACACCTAACCCAGTTCCAGATGAAGAATCTATTAAATGGATACTCGATGAAATTCGAGGCTACCTCTCTCCCGAAATCCGTGTTCGCCGCGGTGACGTCTTAGCCGCCTGGTCGGGTATTCGGCCACTCGTCAAAGACCCCAAAGCCAAGAATACCGAGTCGCTCGTGCGCAACCATCTCATAGACGTTTCTCGCTCCGGCCTTTTGACTTGTGCTGGCGGCAAATGGACAACGTATCGTCAGATGGCCGAGGACTGCGTTGACGTCGCTGTCAAAGAGTTTGGTCTCAATACCAAAGCAGTCGAGAACGCACCGCGAGTCAGTGGGACCAACCACATAGACGATGGTGCCATCCTTGATGGCAAGTGCCAAACCCACAACGTGAGATTAATTGGGGCACATGGCTTCAGCAAGACGCTCTTTATACCCTTAATTCAGTACTTTGGCGTGGAGACAGAGGTCGCCAAGCATCTCACTGAAAGCTACGGGGACCGTGCCTGGTCAGTTGCTGCTCTTTGCAAGCAAACAACGCAGCGTTTTCCCGCCCGTGGGGAGCGTATATCCCAACTCTATCCCTTTGTGGACGGCGAGGTGCGATATGCTTGCCGACACGAGTACGCACAGACGCCCGTCGACATCCTGGCGAGACGCACACGCCTGGCCTTTCTCAGCGCCCAAGCAGCCCTTGAGGCTCTCCCCAAGGTTATCGATATCATGGCGGAGGAACTGAAGTGGGATCATCGCAGACAAGAAAGGGAATGGGATGATAGTACGTTCGACCACACCCCGCCTACCCCCATCACTGCCGCGGTGACTATTATTGATTAGTAGACTGACCTGTTATTGTTGATTGACAGCTGTTGACTTTCTCAAGTACATGGGCCTCCCTCAGCCGTTGCAGTCTGCCACTCGTAAGCAGGTTGAGCAGGGAAAGCTCGATTTTGCGAGCTCGCTTGAGTGGAACATGTACTCGCGACACGATAAGCCCCAGGAAAACTAAAAAAGTTCTAGCTATACTAGTGGTGGTCTGCACTGAAGAGGGGTCTACGTTCTGTGTCAACATCACACCTCTTGCGGAAAGGGCGTATCATGCCGCTCCGTCCTCAAACTGTGGCCATGCTCAATATCCATACAGCGCGCCCTCTTGTTAGGTTAGCAGAAGACAGGGTTAGAAATTAGTACATACTAATTCAGTTACTAAATGAGTATTTTTAGTATTTACTAATTAATTACTAAATTTATAAGTATTAATATAGATTTTTTATATTAAATACTAATTTATTAAATACTAAAAATTACTAAAGTAATTAGTAATTAATATTAATATTATTAAATTAATATAGTTAATAAATAAGTAAGTTAGATAAATAAGTAAGCTATTTTACCTAATCTTTTATTTTTTAATTATTAATAATTTAATTATAATATAAAAAAATATCTAAAACTAATTAAAATCTTTTTCTTTACTAGTTTTTATATTTATAA